ACAGGACCGGCCCAAGGACGGTACTTGCGGGACCCCAGCACGAATTGGGCGTACTCCAGAACGATGACCACGGACGTCGACAGCAAACTCCCATTTACCCAAGAATGACACAATTAGCTTCCATAATCCCTCAGGCAAAAGTGGCATTAGTTAGTAAAAGAGACCTTCGTGCCAAACCCTGTCAAAGGCCTGTCGAACATCAAGAAAGACAGCTCAGCAGTATTTACGATCTTCCAAAGCAACCAGTATATAATTTACTACTCTGTGCACTTGCTCAACAGCACAATGGCGACTACGAAAGCCAAACTGGTGGTCTGGAAGTGCTTCGTCAGACGCAGCTATAGCTAAGAGCCTAACAAGCATGGTCCGCTCAAAAATCTTGGAAAAGTGGATAGGAGACTAATCGACCGATAGGAATTCTGGCGAGCACAGGTCTTTTTCTTTTTTGGTACCATTGTGACTAGAGCACGTTTCCAAGGGGTTGGAAAATGATCAAGGTCTAGGGAGGCATTAAGGAGTTGGCAGAGCTGCGTAGTGACTGAGCTAGGCAGAGCCTTTGCTACTACCTTTCCGTCCATCGCGTCTATGTCAGGAGACTTAGTGGAAAATAGTCGCCTAATATAATCACGAACCTCACCATCGTGTACTGGACGTACATAAACAGGAGGGTCAAAAGAGAGTCCTAATCTAGAGATCGTTGTTTGGACTTCTTGGCTTGTTGCAAAGTCAAATGGAGTGAAGCGATTTTCCAAATCATCTGCAAATACTTCAACAATTTCGGAATAGCTGTGGGTCCATGTGCCATCGTTACGTTTAAGTGAGAATCTCTGAAGCGGCTGTCTTTTTTGGTTGAGGGTACATTCTGGTTAGGGTCAATGGCACTGAGCCTGTCCATAAAGAATTTAGACTAGGCCAAACGAAGGACTTTTTTAAGTTCGGAAACAGCAGCCTTCTACCTTGCCATGTCGCTGGTATGCCTCGTCCTCGTCCTCATGACCTTTTCTAGCCAAGGCAACAATTTCTGGCTTCGAAGTAGACCAAGATGGTGGAGGAATAGGAACACTGGATCTGGTCAACTAAGAACTCAGCAAAGTAATCAACTTCATATACGTGTTGCAAAGTCAAATGGAGTGACGCGATTTTCCAAATCATCTGCCAAGTACCATCGTTACGTTTAAGTGAGAATCTCTGAAGCGGCTGTCTTTTTAGGTTGCGGATGCATTTCCACAGCGCAAACCCGTGATTTTGGTTAGGGTCAATGGCACTGAGCTTATCCATAAAGAATTCAGACTAGCCAAACGAAGAACTTTTTTAAGTTCTGACACAACAGCCTTCCACCTCGCCATGTCGATGGTATGCCTCGTCCTCATCCAGACGCGGCGGAGTAAATGACCTTTTCTGGCCAAAGCAGCAATTTCTCGCATCAAAGTAGACCAAGATGATGGAGGAATAGGAACACTTCTAGCAGGAAGGGCAGCTTGGTGGATCTGGTCATCTAAGAACTCAGCAAAGGATTCAACTTCGTCAATGGTAGTAAAAGAGGGATGCTCCTGGGCCAGGGCAGAAAGTCGGGCACCGTCACTTCTCATATCCGAACTATAAGGTAGAAGCCTGGTTTTGGTAACAGCCGTATAGACAACAACGCTGAGATATATCAAAAGCGGAATATGGTCAGAGGTAAGACCGGGACACTCCGAGATAGTAAGGTGGCTACACGGGAGGCCTCTGTACACCGCAAAATCAAAAGCCGTCGGAAGGTGGTTATTAATCCATGGAAAAATGCGTAGGTCCGCCAGTGGTCAGAATCTGCATACTTGAGTTAGAAACAACCGACATTCCCCGGGTGCACGAACGCCTGCATCCTGCAATAAGAAAGCGGTTACCCACAGAGCCAAACTGGCGCAGAAATTCATGAGCTGACCAAGAATGATGTTGACCAGGAGGAAAGTAGACAGAACCGAAAGAAATTCTGCCGAACCCAGTGACCAAATTTATGGCAACTGTTTGCAAATAAGGCTGTGATATCGTGGCGCTCAATCCAGGGAGGACTTAACGATAACAGCAGCACCAACACGATGCTGATCATCAGGGTGGTTTGCGGAGAATACATAATATTTATAAATACAGAAAAAAGAACGGCTGGTAAAATGTGTCTCCGAAATAAGTAGATGTTGCGTTCCTGGAGAAGATGCTCAACCTCCAGAAATTTGCCAACTAAGCCCTTGGCGTTCCAAATTACAGTATTTAGCCCGTGATTAGTCATCGCAATGCGTCGACCCCAGCGGGGTGGCGTGCTTAAACATCACGCTCTGTAGCATTTGCAACGTCGCCGTCATCATCGAAATAATTTAATCAAGCGTACCAACAGTTTTTCAATTACAGCTGCTTGAGCCATCGCAGCATTCTCTTTCTGTTTCCTTAACTTATCAATAAATTCCAGAAGCCTGTCCTGGGCAGATTGATGAGTAGTTTCAAGGCTTGGCTGGCTTAGCGGGGCAATACATTTTGGCGTGAATCACGCACTGGCAAGGGTTGACTTGAGGATACAGAAGGACGAGAGGTAAACCAAGCATTATGAGCCGGGGGCAGGTTTAATGACAAGATTTTGAATTGGGCTGCGATCCACAGAGGTTTTAGGCCTACTTTACTCAATAGCCTCTAAATAGGCCGGACATCGGTGGGAGGAAGCACTTTGATTAGAGCCACAGTTAATACGTTTAAACTGCTCTTCTTTCGTGGCCGGAAACTTATCCTTGTCCTTCGTCTCATTGTCACCAGCATATCTGACACACTTTGGCAAAAATGAGCAAACATTTTTAGAATGCCCAAATTCGTGACATCGGAAACACCTTAAAGGTCCTTTTCTTTGGAGCTGCGGTTCTACTTTCACTACCTGGTAATCTACTGTGCGAACTTCTTTGTTGTTTCTCGCTGGTTCCAATTCAACAAAGAATATATCCCGGTTCGTCTTGCCGTTCTCACCAAGGGGTTGTATACACTACGAGAATTGTGCTTCAAGGCTTTAAGCCTCGCAGTAATTTCAGCTATTTCAGTAGCCATATGGAGACCCTTCATAACGACTCGAAAGGCCCTTTCGTTCTTAAATTGAAAGGTGCTGACAAGGATTCCATTATCCTTAAACAGCTTCTGGACCACACGGTATACACTTCCGTCATCCACAGTAATTCTACAGGAAGATCGACCAGTCATCTTGAGGCGAAAACCTTTAGTCACAGATGACAGTAGAGCAATTATTTTTTTGAAAATCAGTGACCCCTCTCAGCAGAAAGGGAGGGAGACGGGGCTCGCGTTTTTTAGTATGAGAAGAGGCATTGCTTGGTGATACCGCAGGAAAGTTAAGTTGGACAGGCTCTGATAAAGCATTACCAAGCTCAGGCTCGGTGATAGTATCAACAGTCATTGTATCATCGTCATCATCAGACAGAATAGTAAAGCTATTGTTCTTCCTTGAGTAAGAAGACTCTCCTTCATTTAAAGGAGACTGTAGAGAATTCGTAGCAGAGGCGGCTACTTGAGGACGTTTTTGATTGCTGACAGGCTTTATTAGAGAAGTCTTAGTTCCACCGCTTATGTCCAGATTTCTTTTTTTCCTGAGGCATTCACCTGGGTCAGATGCTCTTTATCAGCAGCATTCTTACTAATCCAATTGGGAGTAAAAGGGTTCATAGCCGGAAATGATGACGATGAGCAGCTGACTGGTTCAAAAGTATTATCACAGTCTTGATATTCATAGGTGACGTGATATCAGCATCTGACATTGCACGGGTAATAAAATAAAAATAATGGTTAAGCGCAGCAGCCGGCCTGCCAAAAGAAGAGGCAAGGCCTCTTCCAATAAAGTTTTGGATTTATTAATAAGCAATATACTGTCTAGATCTCTTTATTTGCTCTTATTGGAAAAGAGTAACAACTTGGCTTTTCAGGAATTCAACAAAATTTTTCAGCAGCCTCTGTGTTGCTAAAATTTCAGAATGTTGAATTGAAAGGAAATGTTAAAGCAATTCAGAAACGCAGTCGTTTAGGGAATACCCAAATTACAGGGGCTACTTTGATTTTACGTATTCAGCAATTCATGGAGTTTATAACATAAATTCCAAGCATATTCCCCACATTTTGTGAAAGAAGACGGAAATTTTTATTTATTTTATTTTTGGAAAATCGTGATAAACTCTTATAAATTTATTTGTATATTAATTTACACAAGTTAGAGTTAACTTACATATACTTAACGTATACTTTGTTATTATTTGAGCTACACTTGAAGAAAAATGCATCTGTCACTATATACATATGTGCCTTTCCACAGATTTCCATCCACCTTCTACCATCCGTAGAACGGAAGGTTCATAATGCCCTCTTTCCACACAGTCCATCCCTTGGAAACGGTTGGAATTTTCAACAAATGAGAAACTCCGATTTCCACAGAGCGCATCCATTTTCCACCTTACGATTTCAGCTGATCTCAACAGCTGTGGTCGTCAAAACGTAAACAAACCCAACAGGTTAACCATCTTTGCTATTTTTTTCATGAGCCACAGCTGTTCAGATCAGCTGCAATCGGATGGTGGAAGGTGGATGTGCTCAGTGGAGTTTCACTTTTTTAAAAGTTTCAACGGTTTGTCAGGAATGGACAGCGTTGGAAAAGAGCTGCACCGCAAAAAACATCGGCTAACTATCGCTTAAATTAGTCCGTCAAATTTTAACGGAGGACTAACTGGGAAGTTTTTGGAGCTGCAAAACCTTATGGACCATCCCTTCAACGGATGGTGGAAGGTGGATATAAAGTATTAAAAATTTAAAGCAATAAATTAAGTTTTTATATTGTTCAATTCCTCAGTTTCACTTTCTGCCTTAACTTATGGACGCTAGCTTGACTTATCTAAATTTAATAGTGTTGATAAATATTTACGCGTTCCGGGCATGTGTTTTTTTCAAACTTTTCGGCGCGGTCTCACTGCTGCCCATTTTTTTTCTCAACACTTTTTTGTTGTATTTGCTATATAAACGCGCGCAGACTTCGTTTCAGATTTAAATTGGTAGCGCCCGCAGCCCGTTGCAGTTTGTTCAATAGTCCGCGAGATAATCACAAGTACGATGGCCGACCATGAACTCCAGCAGTTCTTTGCGTAAGTAGAATGGTGATAGTGGGCTGAGATCCACAGATGACTTCAATGTGTGCGTCACTGTTCTTACACATACTTGGATGTAAATGTACATATTAAGATATATACGGGCTACGCAGCTTCCCAATTAACTCAGCAATGACATCCCCTGATTAGGAACTACAAGAAAATAATACCACGTCCGCCTTCTTTATTTTTAGTGGGGGGAGCATGATTTGTATATTTTTCACTAAAACCGGCGTGTGACGTGCATATAAGCAACTACTATATACATATGTATCTCAATCAGTGGTCGGTCTATCTCTAGAGCATGGTGTAACTTTATAAGGACCTCGGCAAAGCTGATGTGACCACCTTATATAGTTGAATCATGCTCCAGAGTATAGGCTAAGGCCAAGTCGGCAGAGCAGCAGCAGCGCGGCGGCAGAGGCCGACAAGAACACTATAAAACTACAATAAGCACACACACGCTGACAAGTTCCGCAATGCAAAAAACTCACACAAAGAAGTGCGGGCATTTTATAGTATGTGTGAGTAGGCTATTTGCATTTAATTCTGGACCGAAGGTTCCATTTACCGACTTTGTGATTGGGTGACATGAAAAAAAGGCAATCACAACGCTGATCCGAGCGGCTGAGCCGCAAATTGTTCTAGTTTGTGGTAGATAACACCACCAGTGCTTTTAATTTATCAGCTTTTCACGCCCCATATATAATGGTTATAAACCGCTATCGCTTTTCAGTTTCGTTGATGGCAAAAAAAAAGATTACATCGATGCCCTGAAAACGGTTGTGGCTATTCAGTCCGTTTCAGCTTGGCCCGATAAGCGTGGCGAGATCGATCACATGGTGGACTGGACCGCTGGTCGTCTAAGGAGCCTAGGTGCCGAGATAGAGCTTACGGATGTGGGAAAGCAAACATTGCCAAGCGGCCAGATAATCCCTCTGCCGAAGGTCCTACTCGGAACTCTGGGCAAGGACGCCTCCAAGAAAACTGTGCTGGTCTATGGACATCTCGATGTGCAGCCTGCCCTGAAGGAAGATGGCTGGAACACCAATCCCTTTGAACTTACCGAGGTAGATGGCAAGTTGTTTGGACGCGGTGCGTCGGACGACAAAGGACCCGTACTGTGCTGGATCCATGCTATCGAGGCTTACCAGAAGCTCAACATTCCACTGCCAGTTAACGTGAAGTTCGTTTTTGAGGGGATGGAGGAAAGCGGCAGCGAAGGCCTCGACGACCTATTGATGGAGCGCAAAAACGATTTCCTAGTCGATGTTGATTATGTTTGTATTTCCGATAATTATTGGCTGGGAAAAAAGCGTCCCTGCCTGACCTATGGGCTTCGTGGACTAGCATACTTCCAAGTTGAGGTGGAATGCTCAAACAAAGACTTGCATAGCGGAGTGTTCGGGGGAACCGTACACGAAGCAATGCCGGATCTTTGCCACCTCCTCAGCGTTCTTGTTGACAAGGACACGAAGATTTTGGTTCCTGGAGTGGATCGCGACGTAAGTAGCTTGTTAAATAACCCAAAAACTTGCCGCTTACGCTGCAATTCCTTTCGCATTCGTACAGGTTGCTCCCCAGCTAAAGAACGAGGAATCAATATATGAGAACATTGACTTTGAAGTATCTGAGTACAAGTTAGTTAATCTTATATGTTTATCTTATATTGACACCGTAAATCACTGAACTACTATATTATCTAAAGGAAAGACATTGGTGTTAACGAGCTACCGCACAATGGCGACAAAATCAGGCTGCTGCAAGCCAGGTGGCGTTATCCAAGTCTTTCTATCCATGGAATAGAAGGTGCCTTTTATGAACCAGGCGCAAAGACCGTTATTCCAAAGAAGGTCATTGGCAAATTCTCCATTCGTCTTGTGCCCGACCAGGATCCAAAGCATATTGAGGAGTGTGTTGTTAAATATCTTAATGATAAGTGGGTCGAACGTGGCTCGCCTAACAAAATGAAGGTTGGTTTTTTGTACTGTTAAACGGCTTTGCTCTAGAGAAAATTATTTGTGATAAAAGGTTGTTATGCTCTCTGCGGGCAAGCCCTGGACTGAGGACCCAAACCATGCGCACTATGAAGCTGCGAAACGGGCCATTAAGCATGTGTTCAATGTAGAGCCGGATATGACTCGCGAGGGGGGCTCTATTCCTGTTACTTTGACATTGCAAGAAGCCACTGGCAAAAACGTCATCCTTGTGCCAGTGGGAGCATGTGACGACGGAGCCCACTCTCAAAATGAAAAGATCGATATCTACAACTACATCGAGGGCGTAAGCTAGCATTAAAGCCTTTCACTGCAAAATTTGATAACCTTACTTTTTTTTCTTTTAGACTAAACTTCTTGGCGCCTATCTCCACGAAGTGGGAAAATTATAAACAAGAAAATTAACATCCCATCCTAATACGATGAAACATCACAACCGTGCTCTAATTGAAACAAATATTGTCCTTAACCTTACAATTAAAAAACTCGCCATAGAAATTCCGTTTTTTAGGCAACCGTAAACCAAAGTGGAAATGTTTTTAACCAATTGAAATATTTAAAATGTTTCCTAAGATATGAGTCAATCAGGCCTGTTCCAGTTTTCACTCGGAAGTGAATTCGTTGAAATTGGCGGATTTTACTTTTACACAGTCAGAGGGAAATTAGGGAAATTACAATTTGGGGGAAATAAAACAGCTGACTGCCGCTAGTGCTCTTAACATAAGCCTACGATTTGCCTAAGTTTTCCAGGTCGACCTCTGATCAACATTTGGCACGCTGCTTTTCCTAATCTTTGTGCATTATTGGTGCTCACATTTAATGTCTAAAATCAGTCAAAAAATCATTGGTAGGCAAAAATAACAAAATCTACTAATTTTAAAGGCAGTGATGGAAACTGACCAACAAAAGTATAGAACAACTCGTGTTAAAATCAGCTTTGTTGCCAAAAATAATTCAAAGATAGTTGGTTTAATTTTAACAATGTTTTTGAAACTTGGCAAATAACGAGTTGGGAAGACAAACACTCTTGGACATTAAACGCAATAACCGACATTTTTTTTGCCTAACTGAGATAATTGGGCCCGACCTAGGGCATCCCTGGATTGCCCATGTTACCCAGCTTGCGGCAGTCCTTCGTGTTCTGGCAACCGGGTCGTACATTTTTATACCCTTGCAGAGGGTATTATGATTTCAGTCAGAAGTTTGCAACGCAGTGAAGGAGACATCTCCGACCCTATAAAGTATATATATTCTTGATCAGCATCACTAGGCGAGTCGATCTAGCCATGTCCGTCTGTCCGTCCGTCTGTCCGTCCGTTTATATGCAAACTAGTCTCTCAGTTTTAAAGCTATCTGCATGAAACTTTCCCAAAAGTTGTCTTTCTATTGCAGGTAGTATATAAGTCGGAACGAGCCGGATCGGACGACTATAGCATATAGCTCCCATAGGAACAATCGGAGAAATAAATGAAAAAAAATTATAACTTTTCTGTTTTTTAATTTTTTGTTAAGTTCTTCCACATATAGCAATGGTTATATATTTCAGAATTATGGTTTAAATTTCATCAAAATCGGACGACTATAGCATATAGCCCCCATAGGAACAATCGGAAAAATAATTGAAAAAAAATTATAACTTTGCTATTTTTTAATTTTTTGTTTTGTTCTTCGACATAAAGCAATGGTTAAATATTTCAGAATTATGGTAAAAATTTCATCAAAATCGGACGACTATAGCATATAGCTCCCATAGGAACAATCGGAAAAATAATTGAAAAAAAATTATAACTTTGCTATTTTTTAATTTTTTGTTTTGTTCTTCGACATAAAGCAATGGTTAAATATTTCAGAATTATGGTAAAAATTTCATCAAAATCGGACGACTATAGCATATAGCTCCCATAGGAACAATCGGAAAAATAAATGAAAAAAATTATAACTTTTCTGTTTTTTAATTTTTTGTTTAGTTCTTCGACATTTAGTAATGGTTAAATATTTTCGATTTACGGTTTAAATTTCATCAAAATCGGACGACTATATCATATAGCTCCCATACAAATAATAAAAATATATAAAAGAACAATCAAATAATTAAGCTGCAAATCGTCATAGCTTCAATGTTTTTAAACATATACGCAAGTAAATCATAATTTTAATGTTTTCAAAAATATTTAATTCTTGCGATAGCTGCAAGGGTATATGAACTTCGGCTTGCCGAAGTTTGCTTTCTTTCTTGTTTATTTTAAATTTTGTGCGTGAATCAGCTGCACCAATGTTGCATACTTTTCACAAGTAGTGTTCGGGACCAAAGTTGCCAAAGACGATGAAAAAGGTCCCAACACAACACGCTTTGCACAATAAGTACATTCAATTAAGGAGTAATAAGAACAAAGACACTTTTAAACTAAACTTAGATAATTTACATTTATAACCATATAAAAACCAACCGGAAAGCGCTGGTTAAAAATAAGAAAATAATTATTGTTTCGTACCATGACCACCCATGCTTTTTTTTTTAAATTTTTTATTTTTTTAAAATTTGTTTGTAATAATTTTAAAACAGGCAGATTTTTTATTTAAATTGTACCTTCGAAAAAACGCAAACATTTCACTAAATTTTTGTATTAACAGAAAATGAAAAATGAAATAAGTATATTCAGCTGCAAAAAATAATACGTACACAGTATTTTTTCAATTGTTTGAAAATGTATTAGTGATTTGTTTTATATTTGGTGGTATATGGCAACTAAATTTTTAGATTGGAACAAAATTAGTAATTACTGGCGCACCACTCTTTTCTAATTTTTCCCACAATTCTTTCTCTTGTTTGGATTTAAGGATACAGAATTCTTCTTTTAAGAACCACTTAAAAGTTCTAAACCAAATTTTTGAGCATAGGCTTAACCGTCCCCTCCAAAATAATAATTACTTTTTCCTGGAAAAACTATTTAATTGATGGCTTACACGCGTTCAGAGTCAATATCCTGTCTGTATACCTAATTTTAATCCCTGTCTTGCTTATACTGTGACGGCAATAAACTCATAAGTATGTTAAATAAGTCTGGAACCTGCATTTGTTCTTAGATCCAGAATATCAGATTGATAGAAACTAATTGGTCGGCAAAAAATGGGCAAACAATTTCGCTTTTAAAATTTCAAAAATTCGATTTTAGTCGACACGTCTTCTTTGATCTGATATCCGAAGCTAATATAAAACTGTCTAGTATGATTTTGCATGTAACATTTTAAAAGGAGTTCTTGTGTGTTTCCCATGGAAAGAAGTAGTATTTAGGTGCATAGTTAACGTTTTACCATCATATTCAAACAAATAATTTTAATTTTGTTAGATCGCAACACGTTATTCCAATTTTGGGTTGCTTAACATTACACAGTAGCTTTTCCGTGTTTATATTATATAGATAGTTCAGACAGCCTATTTTTTAAAGCAACAGGAAACTAATGTCACCAATGATTTTAGAGGCCTTTAAATTCAATGTTTCGATTTAACCAATTAAAAGGTCGTGAAACAATATAGATATCGATTGCATTCTGCGTTCACTCTTCGCCGCCTAGGAAAAATTATACCCATAAACAAATTGTTTCCTTAGTAGTGGATTTATTAAATCCACCACTTTTCAAATATCTAGCTTTAAACTGAGCTAGCAAACGGTATAGAAACAGACAAACAAACAGATCAACTCCTCTGGTCTTGCTGATCAAGAATACATATACTTCATAGGGTCGGAAATTTCTACTTCACTGCCTTATAAGCATTGGCCAATTTTAAAATATCCTCTGCAAAGGAATACAAATTTAAAATTCGAATAAATAATTATAAACGGTCGTGCGACCAATATTATATTGTAATCGTTGCAAATGAAATTGATTCAGCAGTGGTTGCATGCAAATAAAATAACTAGTTCCTCTCCCCTCGCAAGTCCTGCCACACGTCCGAAGGAAAATGGTACAGACCACCTCTGATTTGTTTATAGAGACATTAATGCAAACACTGTTTCTGATAAGTATCCGTTGGCACTTATTTCTGAACAAATAGACTGGCGGGTGCGAAATTCTTCAGATCTTTAGATATGTATGGCAAGCAATATTTACCTCTCGCTCCGATGGCTTGGGCTCGATTCTCGTCCGACGACTTAATAGAAGTGTACGTTTTTTTAGTTAGATAGTAATTATAAAATCATTAAAATTTAGTTTAAATGAAAAAATTACAAAAGAAAGTACAACCAACTTGCAAATAAAAAACAAATGCATGTTTTTAATTTTTAAGAATATTTTTTTTGGGTCATATTGATACAAAAATTTATTAAGGAATGTACCATTTTCGCAAAAGTGTATATAGATAATTTTGAAAATATCAATTTGCTACTGAAATTATGTGTACTTTTTTTGATCTTCTTATTAAGAACTTTTAACAACTTAATAGTGTCACATTGACACCTAAATAGAGGCATTTTGTCACAATTTTTTTTTTTGGTTAAAGGACTAAATATATAGTTCAAAGTTGGCGACAAGATTAATTATTTATAAAATAAAGGAATAACGTTTATTTTTGTTTATCGTTTTTTGTCAATAAATCCTATAATATGAACTTAAAGTGCTATACCAGTGTAACTAAAAATAGACATTTTTTCTTAGAAAGTACCTCATAGAATATTTTGAAATTTTTTTCACATAATAAGGTAAGTTTTCAACTTTAATGTTTCTGTTTGACAAAAATATTGAGAAATAACGGGACTTTCAGATATTTGCCGAGGGCCCAAAAAAAATTACTCTTACAGCAGACATGATTCCGGTCGAATGAGTGGCTGAAATTCAAAAATTCGAACAATTCAAAATGATTATGAAAGCTAAATATATTTCCCCTACAATGAATTATGATCTTTAAAATGTATCAAATATCAACAAAATGTCATCGGTTTTGGGGTTTAAAAATGAACTTTTAAATTCTGCCTAATGGACAATTTTTAACCAATCCAAAAGATCGTTGGTCATTGTAGGTAGGACCCATTCAAGATGATTGAGTGTTTATTTAAAACCGATCGGTCATTTGTAGCCGAGATATGATGTTCGCTGTTTTCAAAAATGTCGTTTTGAGGTAAACGCATTTAAAGTTTCAGGTGCAGCGGTGTATGTCTGCAAGCGGCCGCTTTTTAGAGCGCTGTCATTCAAAAACGATTTTAGATACGACCATGCCGGTTTCACAGGATGTTTTTAAAAATGTTAACAATCGATTATGCAAAAAAAAAATGTATTTTTAAAAAAAACTTACACTGTTAACCTTCCTTAACCAAAAAAACCTTTAAACAAAAGTTGGAGACTAGTTGAAATACCCATTTCAAGTTAAGTGACTTTTATGCGAAAGGCTGATAGCTTAGCCCCCCTTCATCAAAAAAACCTTTGTACAAAAGTTGAAGGACTAGTTGAAAGAAACATTTCATGTTTTGTAAACATATATGCGAAAGGCTGATAGCTTAAGACTA